GGTTAATTGAAAAATATGCCTTACAGGTACATTTTCAAAGTTGTAAAAATCTCTTTCATATGTTGATTACTGACAAGTTTTGTTGTAGGTTGAATTTTATGACCTAGGGCCTTACTGTAGTAAGTTAGGAAAATACTAATGACACAACATGAAATAAAATTAAATTTTAAATTCACAGATAAACATAAGAATTAAATATGTAGAAGAAAGAGAATCCATTTTACCTTTTATCCTGAACAAACATATTGAGTGTAGGGAAGAATGTAATGTTTAAAGAAATTAACTGGGAAATGAGTTTTTCCACCCCTGTGTTAAGCTTTGAATAGTTGAACAACAAATGTTCAACTTTTTGCCGTCCCCTGCAGCTATAGAAACACAAGTCCATATGTCACCGAAATCTCTTCAGATATGAATGAAATTACCATGCCATTAGCACCTTTGTTTAGAAATTTAGTATTTTCAAAATTGCAAAAAATATTATTGAGTCTGTAAGGAATAGAACCAAAGAAAATTTAGTTAGAGAGGCAGTAAAAGAATTTTTCTAGAATTTATTCCTCTAGAGAATTGTTTTGATCCAATTTTGTTTCTTCAAGAAGGACTTGGGCATTGTCACTGTGATATTAACTTAAAGATTGTAGCTTGTTTTGCCAATCATTCAGCACTTTCATTTCGTAGATTGCCAAACAAACATGAGAGAAGATGCCAGCAACACCTTTATTATAAAAATCTTCAAGAATAACATAACAAGTGTCAGTTAGTTTATTCCAGGAGAAGGTTACGTTTAGGATTGCTGGCATATGTTTGGCACCAGTTAGCAAAGAGTTTAAAGTACAGTTTCTGTTTTCATACAGTTCAGTAACAAAATAGCTCTTGGTGCAGTTTTAATAATGGATTTAAATATATCCTAAATTTATTAATGAGAGAACATGAGTAAAACAAATGATAACGACTTTCCTTCTTGAAAACAAATTCTAAGGTTTATTTCTAAAATTTTTTACTATTGCCACTTGAGGGAAAAGAAAATCACAACGTGAAAAGTTACACAGATTGCATTTCAGTGTTGCAAAAGATGTTGCCATTCACCCCCTTTCCAACAATAATGTTATACCTCATAGTCTTTCAGATATGCAGGAAATAAAACTTTTCAACTTAGTGACATTTTGAACTTGTTTTTATGGTTAAGTTAAACCCTAGATTGTGTTTAATAATAATGCATTTGCTATGTTTTTGTTTTATTCTTAAAAAAGTATTGCAAAATTAAAAGTTGTTGCATAGAACATTTCTGTAATTTCTTCAATACTGTTTACTGAGAAGTCCATAATTTTTTCCCATTGGTGGTCCTTAAAAGTGTTTAGAAGTCATTAATTTCCATCTAAAGAAGTATGAGAAAATCATGCTACTACTTGAAAGGGAATTTTGGGACAAAGCTGTAATGACAGCCACCTATCCACAAAACAGATTGCCATCAAGATTACTTGGGAAAATGCTGTATAATCAGAGTTTTTGGCAGTACAGCTTATTGTGTAGTTCCAAAGCAGAAAAGGAATTATTGTTAGATGCTGTGATTGTACTAAAGGATATAGAATTTATTTTCTAGATGCAAACAACATTGTCATCTAAGGAAGGTGATATTTGTTGAAAATAAAAATGTAGTAATGCCTTATCAAATAAATAATCAGAATGTAGAAATACAGTGGATTTTTAAGGAAAATGAATTGACAGAATCATGTTCAGATGCAACAAGAGAAGGAGGAAATGCATTCAAAACTGAAGAAACTTGCCAGTTACCAAGCAGATCCCAAATACTGACTAAAGAAATCCCTCCAGACAAATTCCCATACATGGCAAAGAATGAAGAAAGAAATTAAAATTCCTAAAAACTGGCAAGAACTGCAAACTTTTCCGAAAAAAAAATGAGCTGTGGTTAAATCCGTCAAAAATGAAATAGAATCACTAAGAAATATAATTTGGGAACTAGTGTATCTGCCAGAAGGGAAGAAAGCAATTGGAACTAAATGGACATTTCAGGGTATGAGGTCAGAAATAGTAACTTAAGCATATTGCCAAAAATTTGGGCATGACTGCAATGAAATATTTGTGCCAGTCTTGAAATACATTATATAATAAGAAAAATTTTTGCAATAGCAGCTCAGAAGAACATTCATGTAAACCATTTTATTGTCAAAACAACTCTTCAATCTGAAGAGCTGAAGGAAGAAATATATATGAAGAAACTAAAAGCTTATGTTTCACCAAAAGAAAACAGTCTAAATTGAACAAAAGCATGTATGGACTAAAACAAGGAACTCAGAAACTGGGCTGAGTGTAGTTGAAATTCTATGCAGCAAAGGATATATCCAAAGAAGGGCTGACTCCCCCACTCATGCCCTTTCATTTTGAACATGGAAAATACAACTTATATAATCATGTACATTGATGATGACATGTTAATCATGAGTGACAAGCATGAATGAATTCAAGAAGTTGCATGAATAATCAAACAATTGTTTGATGTTCAAAATCTTGGGAAAATATATACATATTTAGGAACTGAAACAGAAAAGGATGGAAGCTTTAAACTTCATCAAGCTAATAAGATTAGAAGTATAATCAATAAATTTGACATGGAATCTGAAAAGACTTCATCAAGATAAGATTAGAAGTATTACCAATAAATTTGACGTAGAATCTGAAAAGAAATTAAGCTACTTTCCCATGAGTATGAATTTTGTCATTAAACAAAAACAAACAAGAGAACAGTTTTTCCAATAACCAGAAATACAGGGAAGCAGTAGAGTGTTTGTATGTTTAGGAGCAGTACCAGGACCTGGTATAGCAAATTCTATTAGAATATTTAGCAAGAAAGTGGAAAATCCTTCGACATCAGACTGAGATCGCAGGATTAAAGTCATGTGATATTTAAGAGCTACAGTCAGTTACAAATTACATTTGAAATCAAGTGGTGATCCAGTCAAAGTATATAGCAATGCTGATTGGGCTGCAGGCAACTGTGGCAATAAATCCACATCGGGGGTACATATTTCTAATAGAAGACAGTATATAATTATGGATAAGCAAGATACAGAACTGTGTTGCCATATCTTTCACATGCTAAATGTGTTGCTCTAACCTTAACTTTGCAAGAGCTGTAATGGATAACTACTGAAAAATTTAGGTTTTTTTCAACAGTAATGTAACATTGATATTCAAGAACAATGTCTCATGTATAAATCCAGAAAAAAAGGGAGCAATTATTCTGCATACATCAGCGTAAAATATCACTATTTGTATGATTCACAAAACCAAGGAACCTAAAACCCTGTATACAAACAGAAGTGATGTATGCAGACAGGTTTATAAAACCTTTGCCTAGACCTGAACTGGGCTTTTTATTGAAAAGAAATGGTTTTGTTCCAGATAACAGTTTATCGAGTTGGAGACTGCATAAATGCTGGTTGAAGTAAAATTGCAGAGGCTGCATATCTATTGTTACCTTCACCTCCATTAATTGAAATAAAGACTTGACCTTGCAAAAACTATCTCATACATACATAGCTTGTAATGCTGCTGTGAATGGAGATGATATTGCTACCCGCTGTGTATAAATATCCTTCTACGTGAAAATTCTGTTTTTCATGTTTCACATTTGGATTATCTTTTAAAGAGGCAAGGAACTTTGATCTTATTACATTATCTGCTTATTATCCATAAACTACATTATGATGATAAACCTAATATATTACACATTCCTTCAACATATTACTTGGTCAACTGTGATTAGATACATGATACATGATAATCCTTATGTCTACACCCCATATGAACATTATTTAGCTACTTGCACAAACACACAAGTAAAAAAAGTCCTGATCAGGACTTCTCAGAACCCTGTTTGATTAAAAGGGGGAATCCTGATCAGACACCCACCTTTGTTGTGACTAGATATTCTATTTGCTGAATACATAGTATATTTACCTTATATACCAAGCAAAAAATAATTATTTAATGTATCTAATATTTTGAGAAGAAAGAATTTAGATCTTCATAGCAAGTTTTAATATGCATTATAATATAAACGGTATTAATTTCCATATATTTACTTAACATGCAGATAATGTTATTTTTTTCTGTTCCACATCTATGCACATTTACAAAAATAACACTTCTAAGTTCTAATTATTTTGAGTCTGAAATATTTGTAATGAATCTAATAAATAAAAACTATTTAGTATGGATCTTAATATCTTTTGAAAAATAAAGCTAAGTAGCTTTGCCTATGTCTTTATCTGATATCTTTAACTGTGTATTTCCATTGTGAAAGTCTTTAGGACATGAAAAAAGGAGTTACTGAAAACTGGGAAATACTAACAGTTTTCTTCAAAATAATGCACTTGATTTGTTCATTAGGTAAGGCCTGTTCTGAAACTTTTGTTGGTGTTTTCTTCAATGCTACATTGTATTGAGATCTTGTTTGTTATAGGTGGCTGAATTGTATATTTGCTGCCTGCTTAAAATGAAAGCAAATGGCTCATTGACCTTAGCCACTTCCATGAAAGGTTACTCACATTTAGTTGCAAGCTGAAAAAAAATTCTGTACAAGGCTCTCATTTTGTGATCTGCTATTTGAGTATATTCATTCATATCTTAGTGCTTCTTTGGTACTATGCAAAATTATAAACCTCTGTTTTGAGTTAACTTGAATGATTAAAAAAGAAGAACACACTTAAAAGAAAAATTCTGGTAATTGAAGAATGCTTTTTTAGACATGTCATAGGTCTTTCTTCTCCTGATAGCATAACTTCACTGATTTTTTTACCTATTATTGCATTGAAAGTGTTTATTAGTTTTTGCTTCTGTGTTTAACAAGTATTATAAACAAGAACTAGTTTATGCAGTGTAATGTATATTTTTCATTTCTTATTAGAAATTAGTGTTAATATGTAGGAGTTAATAATAAGTATGGTATACTGATAATTTTAAAATGAATTAATTTTTTACAGTTAATAAACAGCTTGCTGATAAAGAAAGAATAGCTGCAGCCCTTGAAAACTGCCATCTTTTAGAAGTCATCAATAGCTGTCTTTTGCTGCCAGAGCCACAAACAATTCCAGACTTTGTAGAGAATGCTTTGAAAAACAAGCAAGATACAGATGTTTCAAATATAAGATATATTCAACATTCTAGGCAACATATTGAAAGTTTTCGTCGATGGCATGACATATTGAACAAGGATTCACAAAAATCAAAGTGTTTTAATCTTTCAGGAAAAGATATTTTATTATGAAAATTGTTATGCTCTGTATGGTAGTTCTTTGAAATAAAAGCTGATCTGTGTAATTATCACCATTTGGGCTAATTAGTATAATTATATAAGAATGCTGTGAATATCAAACTGAGAATAAATCTTAAAGTGAAAATGTATACTATAGGTTGTTCTGTAAAGTGTAGTTAAAAAAAACAAGTATATTTGTATTTTATAACCATGAGTATTTTTTAATTCTTGCAAATCTAGTATGGTAAAATTTACTATATTTCCATTGCTAACAATAGAAGAAAAATGTACAGGAAATTACAAATGTCTTTAAATGTGAGTGATATACTTACACTTTGATAACGTATTTAAAAGTAAACAATTTTTACTTTGATTTCCAAAGATAGTCATCTAGTCATTTATTTCTATTGCTTTGAAGGTTTTTCAAAGATTATTATATTTTTTCAGTGGGAAAAAATATGCAGTTTGTATTGTCTCAATGGGAAAGAAAAGATTCTTTTGCACTGAACATTGGAAGCTGTGCAATGTTTGATTCTTAATAAGTCCCATGGATAGCACGTGGTATTTTCCACAATCACTTACCTACATGTTTGAAGTAAAAGAATAATTTTGCAGCCTACTACTAATATGATTAAAAATTTTTATGTCACACCTTAAATAGTGTAAAAGGATTATCTGAAAAATAGTTTTTTTTAATGATTTTGAAATCTAAGACTTGGGCATAACTTTTCAAACATTGCATTTTGGGAAATTCTAAAATGTACTACGTACATTTCTAATTTGTGTATCTATTGCAATTTTCAGCATAAAATTGAATGTGGTAACTCATTCTGAGATTATGAAGAAAAGACTATGATATCTTATTCTGAAATCAAATTATCAAAATCAGCACTAAAATATTTAGATTATAAATTACCTGACTCAGTTTTATTTTTCTTTAAATTTGGAAGTGTGATATCATATAGCATCTGTATGCAAAGAGTACACAATTAAGAAATGCATATTTCGAAAGAATATCTCTATTAAGAGAGTTGGCCAGCATTTTATAATTTTTATGTACTGGTTTTATATCTTTACGATGACGTGGATGATGTTTATATAATTTTTTTAGTACTGTGATTTTAAGTAGTCTCCACAGTATGTTAATTCAAAATAAACAAATTCTAAATGTTGCTTGTGTTATTTTATTTCATTTATGCTACTTTTAATTCTGTATTTTTTAGTGAATTTTCAAATAGAGGTAAATTTATAAGTGCAGGATGTTTCACAATCAATGGAACAATGAAGTTCCTCCAAAAAATTACTCATATTGATTGTCAAATTCTACATAGAAACATGGCATTCCATTTTGAATTTTTCAGGTGACTTACTCTCATTTAATGCTTTGTTAAAAATGAGAAGTAGGGATATTCAGCATAAGACTGTAACTGAGTGTCATGTCTTTGCAATAAAGGACTTTTAGTCCAATGACAGTGTGTTATTTGACCTAGTTGTTGAACTTCATTCTGAGTATTTGTGAATATTGCTTCACAACTTTCAATTAAAAAGAATTGTAATTTTAAAGAAAATATTTAATTGTGCTAATTTGCTTGCTAAATCCGTTCTTCCCCACCCCCCAAAAAAATTTTTGAGTTATAAACTACAAAATTTTTGACATCATCTTAAAGTAGATGTATTACCTGCAAAAAACTATAATTTTTTATTAAAAGTTTCGTCAGATATATGTGAATTTATGAATTGGCATGTTTTGAAATTTGGTATATTTGTTATAAGGGATAACACTTCATTAAAATTGTTTGAAAGAACAAATGATACACCTTTTATTCTGCTCATGCACAGTGAAAGGGAAAATGAAAATTGGTTACCATAAATTAAGAATTCCGCAAGTGAATTATTCTTGGTGCAAACTGAAGAAAATGCATCCAGACAAATTTTTAAATTTCTCAAGTTTCTCCCCACCTTTTACAAATTTTAATATTAAAGTATAATCTGAGGCGTAGAATCGAAATATGAAAAAAAATTGGTTATTTCAGAAAAGTCTGAGTTTATGTCAAAATATTTATGTTAGAACAATGCTATATATAAATCTAATATATGCTTTAAGTCACGCTTGAGACATGGAAAACGTAAGTTATATTTTGTGATCGGCCCAGTAGAACTGGAGTTTTTTTTTTTTTTTTTTTTTTTTTTTTTTTTTTTTTTTTTTTTTTTTTGGCAAAGTGTATATATTTGCTGGTTCTAATTTTTTTAAATATACATAATGCAGTTACAAAATGTTTACAAAATTGCCTTCTCTTTTAGTTCTCGTTAACTGTTAATAATATTCACATCATACAAGAGTAATTTAATTGAGATTACAATTTAATTTTTATCAACAAATAATTTTACAACACACAAAAAAATAATAATTTTATAGCATACAACTTTACTACATGCAGGATTTCTAACGCTTCTACACAAATACAAGGACTTTATTGTGTTTTGAATATAAGTTTATTCAGAATTAAGAATGGAGTGAAGTTTTATCCAAAGATGTTACTACAGCTGCAACAAGACCAGCACCTTTACCACTTCCATCCTCAGCAAGAATTAGTTGAAACTGAAACAAAATGTATTTAATTTAATAAATTATTTATATGCACTGTTAAAACTATAACAGCATGTATTATGAAAAGAAGGAGGAAAATACAAATAAGAGTATGTAGAAAATATAGAACTATGCATGTGTAAATATGTGTGCAAAGTATATAATTACTTGTGCCTAGTTTATAACAGTAAATGGAAAATGTTTGCAAAGTACATTTTTCATTAAACATTGAAAGCATTATTAATGACTTGGTGTAGACCCCCAAAGTAGTGAAACTAGCTCATACTTTTTAAAACAAGAATAAGGTTTGAAAAATTTTTGGTTTTTGTCTATTTCTAGTAATTATGACCTTTAGTTCTTATTGGGATTCTATTAAAGTTCTTGGCTGCAATAATTTTATTATGGAAAATGAAATTTATACTTATTGTCATGTATGAGGTGTGACACAAAAAAATCGAGACTAAGTGTTATAGCTTGAAAAAAGAGTGGAGTTGCATTGTGATGGAAAAAAATGTCTAGTGTAAAAACCGAACAGAGAATCAACATCAAGTTTCTTGTGAAACTTAAGAAATCAGCCGCGGAAACATTTCAAATGTTAACTGTGGCTTATGGAGATGAAACTTTGTCTCGTGCACGTGTGTTTGAATGGCATAAGCGGTTTTCAGGGAAAAGGGACAAAACATGCATGTCAAAATCAAAATTGAAGGCAATATTAATTGTCTTCTATGACATTAATGGAATTGTAATGATTGAGTGGGTTCCAAGTAGTTAGACTGTTTATCAACACTGCTACACCGATGTACTAAAAAGACTTCGTGAAAAAATTAGGGAAGAAAAGGCCATAGTTGTGGAGTGATGAATGGCTGTTGCACCAGAACAATGCTCCTGCTCACATGGCTCTATCTTCTAAGCAGTTTCTGACCAGCAAAAACACTACTGTTATGGGGCATCGTCTGTATTCACCTGATTTGGCTCCATGCGGCTTTTTCTTTTCTTTTCTTTTCCCTAAAGGGAAGCCCTTTTACCTCAGTTGAAGAGGTTCAGGCAAAAACGGAGAATCTCTTGAAGCACCTTCCAAAAATCTGATTCCATAGCAATTACCAGCAATTGCAGAAGTGTGTGAATGTCATGGAGAACTGATTCTTTAAGTACAATGATTTGTTGGACCAGGCTCATTTTCTTAGTGTCACACCTCGTATATAGCTAGACCTGGGCTGAAACCTGAGACTCTAAAGGCTGATGGGGTATCAGTTATTTGCTGTATGGTAGAATGTGCTGGCTGCATGGAGTTTTTTTCTTTGTGAGATGTAAATATGAGATAGTGTTTCTTCAAACCCATCCTCAAGCCTTTGGATACATTTATTGGATATTAGATTGTGCACATAAGACATTCCAAAAGGTTTAAATATATTTTATGAATCTTATGCTGATTCTTGATACCCTAGCACCTCTAATAATCATTGTTTGGCATGTTATTTTAACCCAGATGAGTAAGAAATTTAGAACCAAATTCACGAAGAAGCGAAATTCAAAAGCAGTAAAACCCAAAATTCCCTATAAATATGTAAAAAAATCTCAACCAATTGTCATCAAACGAGAAGAATTACTGTAAACTACAGATGTTTGTGTGTTTATTAACATGCATAAAGAATGCATGATTGATAAAGTTCATAAAAAGCGAGAAAAACAGATAATCTTTCCATTTTTGCAAATCCAAAATAGTTAGCAATTCAAAAAAAAAAAATTGTTAACTCAAAAAGACTCATTGATTTATATAAGTGTGAGAGACGTATAGATTTTCAAACTGATAGCAGTTGATATTGTAAATTTTTAGATTTTTAATTTTTTCAGCTATTTGCAAGTTTTTAGTAATCCAACAGTAGTTTTTATCAGTATTGGTTTTATCAAAAACTATTTTATATTACTGGACACTCAAAGTTCATGGATTTATTTTTGTATATTTTTATTTCATTTTTGGAATTTTTCTGCATAGAAGAGGAGTTCAAAATTTTCGGATGAATTATTACAATTAAATAATTTAGAATGGTTCATCAGATAATTTTAGATGAACAGAAACGGTTTTCAAAGGGGGGGAGGGGTTCAATTGAGTCTCATTTATATTTTATAATTTCGTATTTCACATCCGTACTTTATTCTTGTGGTTTGGTGACAATTGGTTTAAATTTTTTACATATTTATAGGGAATTTTGGATTTTACTGGTTTTGAATTTCATTTCCTTCATGTCTTTGTGAATGAAAATAGTTCTAAATTTCTTACCCTTAGTGTATAATTGATTAATTTTTTTGGCAGCTAGTAGAAGCCATCTGAAAATAATTTGCATTATACACTCCTCAAAAGTGAAATTGCAACACCAAGAAAGAATGCGCGTAGCGTCATCCAAATTGCAGGAGCGAGAGTTGTGAGGTGGGTATGCAAATGATAAAAGTTGCGCACGCATTGGATCACGTGGTACGCATATGCGAGCTATAAAGTTAGCCGCTTTCCTTTCCCTTAAACAGCATCTGAGGGTTTACCGAGCATTGAAGACGTTAGAAGAAGCATAGAAAATGCCTCTGAGACGTCTGATGGTATATCAGTTAACGGTCGGGGAACATGACCGTGTTATTGAACTCCATGAAATTGGTTTGTCGCCGCGTACAATAGCCACTCGTGTTAGACACAACGTGAATATCATCCAACGTTGTTACACGATGGATTCCAGGAAGGTGTACGTGCTCATCGAAGAAGAAGTGGTGCGCACAGGTGCAAGTCAGAGAGCACAAACCGGCGCGTATTCGGCGGTAAACAATTTTTTTTTTTTTTTTTTTTTGCTTATTACGTGCTCCCCCCCCTTGGGCACTACACGGAAAGGGAGGGATCCCTTCATAATTCTTCAGACACCACATCTCCAAAACGGACACTTGCATCTGCGGCCAAGAAGGAGCATCCTACAAAAATAACTGAAGCTTTCCAGCGCTACATTATCAGCACTAAGCCAACAATAGCACAAATTTGCAAAACCATCGACGCTTTAACGTCCATGGGCCAAGATGTGTGCCAGCCATACTAAACCCTCGCCATCTTCCCAGTAACAGCCCACCACACGATCTATATGAGCAACCAAAGAGCATCGACTTCAAACATTTTAGATTCCATGAAACTCCATGTATGTGAACTCTGCTACTGTGCAAACTACGATCTGTGTTTACCGAAACCACGAACTGTGCAAATGCGCAAACTGCGAAACTGCAGAGTGTGCAAATGTGCATTCTCCTGTACTAAAATTGCCGCTATTTGCATCACTACAACCGCAGCCGCACCCTCCTGTTACCTCTGTCCAAATTCTCGCAACGATCTATGAACAGCGAGCTCATAAGTTCACGTTCGCAAACAGAGACCTCAAGCAACTGTAAATGTGCAAATTATGAACAACACGCGCAAACAGCGAATTATTTGCGACTCTGCACATGTGCAAACTGTTTACCTATGTGAACTACGCAACCGTGGACAACCTTATATGCAAACGCTTATGTACTCTATGCCCTACGAACTCCTAGCACAGAACTCAACATATTGTGCACCACATGCCAGTTGAGGACATTATCCTAGCAGCTTAGCTCAACACATGCCTTAATTATATTTCTTTGCATGCTTTAATTCTTGCTCTTGCCCCTGTTCAGTCAAAGTCTCTCCAAATCTGTAAAACAAAACACAAGCGCCCTTGTTTGCCCATGTACAACCTTTTTCATGTCTCAATAAACCTCGACGCAGCCTCTTGTGGCTCCAGGGATTTGTTGCCGCTAGATAGGGGAGGGCATGGGATATACGCCTGTTTACCTATGTTAGACACCAGGCATCCTCGTCCTCCGTAACCTGTGAGCACGAAGTACGTGCCTTTCTGTTAAGAGTTCGAAAATAAAAGGGCTATTTACACCTTTTCATTTGTGCTGGTTTTCTTTACGCTTGTGCGAGAAGTCGCCTGACTAGACTTTTGAGATCTAGACACTTTGTAGAATAGCAAAGAAGATAAGATCTTACAAAGTAACATACACATTACATAAAATTTTAGACTCAGACTTACATTTTTATTTCTTACAAGTCCGTAGAAAGCATCTGCAAATGTACTACTTTACGTTGTTTTAGTGACTCAATCTCACGTGTCTGATAGTAACATCAGATCAGGTCTATGAATTTTGTACTGGCCAAGAGCGCAAGCTTGCTTCTGTCATTGGCTGTTACAGGTGACAGTATGAATTTGCACATCTTCGTCCCAATTTTGTAGGAGAATCTCCTGGGGGACGGATCCGATGGTCTTTCACTACTCTTTTCCTGTATCAACCTTTTGAAAGGACTTTCGGATTGACAGTATTTTAAATGCTTCGTACTGCAAAGACACAAACATCCATACCTTCGCTGAGCTTTTCTATCACCATGCTATCAGGGCAGCCTATTTTAAGTTCCATTATAGATGTTTGCAGTTTAGGAGAAATCCGTCACCTCAAGGTCATGAGTTTCTCTTGTGGGAATTTAAAAAAGCTTTTGCTTTGTTCTGGGTTGCTCATTCGGAAGATAATTCTTGAACTCGACAACCCAATATTATAATTATTAGCAGCGTTGTTCAGAGTTGTTAACAGTCAGGAAATTCTAATTCTTATAGGAAGTAACGTTTTATTTATAGGGATCGCTGAAATGTATTAGGTAACTAAGTAATAAAATGAACATAGAGGAAAGGAAAATAACCCTTTGACATTAAAATAATAAAAATGTTTGTATTACGATAGCAAATACATTTTTAGGAAATTTTCCAAGTATAAAACAGAAACCAGATCTTAATATAAAAATGCTCATAATATTTTCTTACTTTCGGATTCTGATTTATAAAGTGCTCTAGTATATAAAGGAAATTTCTGCTGTGTTTCTTATTTTCATGGAAAAGCTAAACAAAATAATGTAGCAAAACCAATATTAATAAATAAAATCTCTATAAAGAAATAAGAAAATTGTATTTACTTTTTTCGTAGGCGCTAAGGCAGCTATGAACTTTCTCATATATTCATCATATTTAGGATGGTGCTTGTATAAAGAGCCATCAATTGCTATAGTCACATCGTCTTTATCCATCCTTTTTAAAAGGCTAGCAAGACCTAACACATAATATATATATCTTCACTTTTAACACATAAAGAGAAATTAAACAAAACAAAAAACTACAAAAGATAAATAAAAAACGCGATAAACTGTTTTCTATATTAGCATTGTCATTGAAATCAACTCACTGGAGAGCACAAACAAACATTTTGTACTGAAGTAGATGATACATATCTTTAGAAACATATTCTTCATTAACTACGTTAATAGCACAAATGTTCGGAAAAATAATCAGTTAGACATATTACAAAGTATATCACATGTACTACACATTATATCAATTATACGTACCATTAAAAATAAATTAAAAATAAAAATGACCAAGAAGCCCGTTTACATATACACTCCTCGACATTGAAAATGCAACACCAAGAGAGAGCGGTTCTAAAATTATGCCAGTTTCGGGGTTGACCCAAGTCACTAAATTATGCGAATAATATGAAATGCGCAGCTCTCCAGCGCACGTTGAAGAAGATATAAGGGAAGGAACCTGCAGAATGTTCAATTTACATGCCGTTATTTCTGCTGAGAAAATCATCTTAGAAAAATTGGTTCTTGTCTCAAAGGACGCGTGTAATAGCAGTGAATGCCAGGCCCTCGTCAACGGATGCAGGTCCAGCAGAAAAACGATTTTACGAGGGGCATGGTGATTGGACTAACAGCAGTTTGATCCATACGGCAAATCTCAGTGGACACATACTAGGGCGCGTCCACAGTGCACCGACTGTGGCGATGATGGTTGGAATAAAGAAATGTGGTAAGTTCGAGGGGTGCTGGTGTAGTTAGAGTGACATCAGCAACCATTAACGCATCCACCAAAAAGCGGTGGCGCACCCGCATGCCACTTCTACCTCCAAAAAATTCTGCAGCACGTTCAAGAAACCTGAATGTCTCATATCGACTAGAATTATTTGTCGTCGATTAGTGACTAATAGCCTGCACTCGTGGCGTCCGTTAAGACTGCTATTGACCCCACATCATAGACACCGACGTCAGCAATAGTGCCGGGCTCGAGCAATGTAGACGATGGAATGGCACAGGGTCGTGTTCTCAGATGAGTCACGCCTCTGGTTCTCCAATGATAGTCGCCGCGTACAAGTCTGGCGTCGGTGTGGAGACAGGTCCAATCCGGCAGCAACTGTAAAACGCCCAACCGCGCGATAGCGCGGCATCTTGGCTTGGTCGCAATTGCGTACGATTCCAGGTCCTCTCTAGTTGGTATTCAGGAAACAATGACGGCCCAACGATACGCGGATGATGCGCTGTGACCGATGACACTGCTGTACTTTCAAGTAGTGTCCAGTGCCCTTTATTAGACTGGATAACGTCCAACTACAACTGCTCGCATCAGCCAACGTTCTCTGCAATGTGTACAGATGCTTCCCTGGCCACCGTTCTCTCCTGATCTCTCACCAATGGAATACATTTGGGATGTGATTGGACGCCATTTGCAGACCCTGCCATTGCCGTGTTCAGAAGACCAACTGTGGCAAATGGTTGACAGGGAGCCATTCCTCAGGACACCATCCGTAGTCTCGCTGACACTGTACCTAGTCGTCTTGCTTCTTGTATCGCTATTCATTGTGATCCTACACTGAGCCAGTTCATTAGTGCATGTTAAAATGAACAGTGTTATTTGTGTCGTGGTTTCTGCATTGGATTACCTGCATTACACAGATGAAGAATAGAGGTCAAGACGAGAAACAGATGAAGCTCAGCATCCAAGATAAAAGAACAGAGAAGATAAGCTACCAAGGATTTCCTCGCTGAAACGAGCAATCTACGTAGCAGTGTGAATTTCGACCGGAGTTGCAACAGCAACAAGAATAGCCATCCCATAAACAGATGCACAACAAAAGACACTAGTGAAAACTTTGAAGCGGGTTAACATCAAGGTTAACATCAACTTAAAACTGCAGTACCGTCTTAACATCATTCAGCACTCCAAGAGGAACATAAGACTCAAAAATTTGAAGGAAAAAAAAAAAAAAACCCGCGGATTATGTTTTTTCTACAATTTTCCCGCTAATTCTTTAGACTTAAGTTTTCTCAGCTGAAATGAACAATCAACATAGTAGTCTGAGCTAATTAGTGATATAGTGATAATTTTGTTCATATATTAATGTTCTGCAGTGTGTGTGTGTACTCAGTGCTTAATAAGTGCTTAATAAGAGCTATTGCGTTAATTATATTTTAGAGCACAAAGGAAGCGCAGAAGAAACCCTGCAAACAAGTAGTGTTTGCATGTGTGATTAGTGTGCCTTAGTGAGTCATAAAATGTGTTGAGTGCAGCTTGGCAGGCGACCAACCTTGATCAACATTTTTGGATATAGCCACAAGGAACGACGAAGTATCTAGTCACGATAAAGACTCTTAAGATTTACAAACTAATTATTCCATCCTTAGCATATCTCATTGACTGAAATTTGATAATTGTTGACTAACAGTGATTTTAACTAATATTTTGTGGTATCAGATAAATACTTAATTACAATTTAATAGAGGTAGACCTATACTGTGTATGATTTATTCTGTATATGATTTTTGGCATTAGCAAGCAAGAGTACTATTTCTAAGCACGCCGCCATTATTGGCCACAGCTGGCAATAATATTACAGTAGTTCTTGCGCACCAGTGTACAGACGTTTATTCATTTATATTGTTTCTAGCCCACTTATACGGTAATAATTGATAGGAATGTACTGTTAATAATAATAATAATTTATTTTAAGCACAACTGTAAGTGCAACAACATTTTCACCGTAGCACAGTAAGAACATTAACTTACGAGTGCAATTTAAGTGTAATCGTGTTCATTGTAATGTCGTGAATACAATAACTTGTGTATTTCCCAATTCCTGGATTTTATAATTTGTGTTCTGATAGCTAAGACTATTTGCTATTTGATTCACATTAACTTATTACAAACTTTAATAGAAAGTGCGACTTGTGTTTAGTGATATTGTTGGTGCAATAACTTGTGAGTAGATTTACTGGAATTACTGAGCACCCCTATCTAGCTTTACCTGCTCATATTTGATCTATGGCCTCCTCGAATACGGTCAACACGGCCTCAGCACCCTCCTCCGTTATTTCAGAAGTTACGTTAAAGGCACCGTCTCTTGACTCCTCCCTAAAGCGCTCTCAGGACTTTCTAGCGCACAGTTCATCTATATATACATTTTTAGGCGCCAACATCCACCATAGGCTTAATAAAGCAGACCAAAAATATTGATGGATTTTATAGATTTCGCCTAAAAATCTTTTTGGAGCAAAAGCTGTTAATAAACTCGCAACAAATGCAGACTGAGGTCCTTAACGGCTAACGGGAAAAGTTCTTACATTAATAGAACCAAATTCTAACTTAGCAGCTACCCATACATCTCGCCCACCCCTAGCACCTGCAGAGGATCATCAGCCAGAAGGGCACGATTCTTTTGTCATATTAGTTCAGCATAAGAAGAAACACCCCCAGCAAACTTTAGAACACGTTTTGCTGGTGGCCTCCAAGGATCAAGATGTGAATCCATAATCCCTTCAACAGAAACTAGCTTCTAACTCCATCAAACTTGGAATTCCTATTCAACAAATCCGACGCACCAAATCAAAGGAACTTTTAATTAGGTGCGCATCCGACGATCACTAAACAAAGTTAAAAAATTCAATTGCTTCGAAGCAGAATTTTAAAGGCTCCCTTCGACTTCACAAGGACTATATTATAGTCTTTGGAGCGTCTGAGGGCACAACCGCCAACGACCTAATAGCAGCCTTTGAGGCACATCTTCTGTCCTTTCAGGAGGGAGCCATCCATCCTTGTAGCCCCTTACATCGTTCTGACGCCAAGATTAACTAGATAATCAACTTAAAAAAAGTCTGCTACAAGAGGCTTGGATTCAATGGACGTACATACCCAGGATTTCATTATTGCGCATTTAGATGATGAGCCCGTTTGATACGTTGCTTTAACTGTCAGAGATTCGGCCATCTGAGTAAGCACTGCCAGGAATAGCCAGCATGTATTCAGTGTGCTGAATCACTCGCCAAACCAGCTGAAAATTGCCAGGCTTCGCCCTTTTGATCTAGCTGTACTGCCAGCAACCTCAACAAAAGAACAGATTACAACAATAAGCATCCAGCTTATTCAAAGCAATGTCCAACGTACAAACTGGAGCTCCTTGCACAACACGGCGAACTAAACACCCCATCTTCGGATGTTCATGCCCTGCAATTCCTACAATGTAATCTTCAAAGATTCTCAGTTGCTACTTCTCACATGCTACACAAGCAATTTGAACTAAATATCATTATAGGCCTCTTCTAGGAGCCTTATATAACTAAAGATGGCTTTCCGTCAGGATCTACTTCACACAATAAAGTTTTTCTATCGCAAAATAGCATGGCGGAAATAATCTATAATGACCCCATGACTGCCATGATTCGGAAACGCACTCTGCACACCATTTCCGTAATTTTCAATACCAGAGAAGAAAGCTTTCTGATCATCTCTGTTTTCTTCCCGCCTAGCATCTGCATCAATCAACCACTCCCTGAATTGGATTATCTTAAAACGTGCCACTTCAAATATATCCTGATTGGCGGAGACTTCAATGCCTCCAGTAGCCTATGGGAAGCTTCGTCCTAAAATTCACAATCCGCTTCTGTCATAGACTTTATAGAATCCAACCGGTTGGCAATTCTCAATACCTCTGACTCACCACCAACGTTCGACACAATCAAGTACAAGAGGATGGCCGTCCATCACGTTGGCAACCATAAACGCAGCTTGCAATATTTCAGATTGGGCAGTCCAAGATTTCCAAATCCTTAGTGATTACTGTTAAAAAATTAACTTAATAATTTTTAAGTTTCTTTAAAAGTTTTATTTCAAATGAAATATCAAAATTCTACCTACCTGTTCTTCCCGGGTAGTGACTGTATCTCCTTCGATGTTGATTCAGCATTACAATGAATGATAACGTAACTAAATAACCACACG